CTGTCCTTTTCTATCCTCATTTAAAAAAAGGCAGGTGCTAGCTCCTCTTGATTCAGAAACATTCCCATCAGGATGTGTAGTTTCACTTTCCAAGCCACTGACCTCAGAATCAACAGTTTCCAAACCATCAGGGACAAATTCATGTTCAGTAGCCTGTTCAGTTGCATCAGGAAATACATTCAGAGAATCAGGTTCAGGTTCACACGCAGGCTGAACCCCAACACTATCCCGTGCCCCAAGGCCCGCCCCGAGGCTGGGGTTTTGCAGGGTAAGCCCGATGAAAGCGAGCGACAAGGTCAGGAGCATGTAAGTCACAAGCATCGACCCAGGATCGCTCCTCAGGTCTATACCCAGTCCAGTCCACCAGATACTGTAATCTGCGGCGTCTGAAACGGGAATCCAAAATGTCTTGAACCTCAAACTCCTCTTCCCCCTCCCGAAGGACCGGGGGAAGTGGTGGTCCCTTCCTGAGATCTGGGCGTATCCCATCCGCCGGTTGTAGCAAAGACCGGTGAAACACAGGGTGAATATGCATGTCCCAGGGAAGTTGTAACTTGAATGTCACAGGGTTGATCTGAGCCACCACACGACAAGGTCTCACAAACCGAGCATCAAACTTCCGGCAAGGCCTTTGAAGGGGGAAATGTTTGGTAGACAGCCACACCCATCCGCCTACCTGAAACTCTGGCCCTTCCTGCCGGTGTTGATCCGCAACATGTTTGTAATCCAATTTGGCTTGTTCTAGCTGTGTCTTAAGAACTTCTTGCACTGCGGTTAACTCCTGAAACCAATCTTCTGCGGCAGAAACGTTCCCCGACTATTACCGTCAGGTAGAAGCGGGGGTGATAGCCGTAATTGGCAGAGAAAGGAGCTTCTTGGGTGGAACTCTGGGTCCGATGTTATAGGAGAATTCTGCCAAGGAAAGCAAGGATGACCAATTGTCCTGTTGGTAATTGACGTAGCATCGTAGACATTGTTCCAGAGTAGCATTGGTCCTCTCCGTTTGGCCATCCATCTGGGGGTGATGCACAGTCGACATCCGGGCGTCAATGCCCAACAACTGATGAACAGCCTTCCAAAACTGCGAGGTAAATTGTGCTCCTCGGTCAGTAACAAGGTTCTTGGATAACCCGTGCAGGCGGAAGACATTGGTGTAGGAAGAGATCCGCCGAGATGATTTCCCACGGTCTGGTGGGGGTGGGCATTGGTTGCAGCAAACTGGCTGGTTTGCCCACTTGATGCTTTGCTCGTTGACATACTGGACAGGTAGCCACATATTTCTCGACGTCCCGACGTATCTTTGGCCACCAGAAATCTCGCAAAATCAAATGTAAGGTCTTGAATAGGCCAAAGTGCCCCGCTGGACGACTGTCATGACATAATTTGAGGATCTCTTCCCTCTCAGGTCCCAAGGATACATATACCTGAGAGCGGCGACAGAGGAGTCCTTCTTTGACATGAAATGGAAACTGTACTCCCCGTACCAGTTGTTCCTGAACCCACAAATCCTGATCTTGACGGGTTCGAATGCGTTCTGGTAGGGAAGTTTTATCTGGAATCACAGTCCCAGTCTTCCTTTGATCCGTAGGGCCTGACTGATTGTCCTTCTCGGCCACCGTGGTGACTGCAAAGTTCTCGGGACGCAACAGGGGCGACTCCGAAGTTTCTTCCCGACCTCTTGTATATTCCGGTTTTCTCAGCAAAGCATCCGCTTGCTTTGTTTCCGCCGGAGTTACACAACGGATCCGGAAGTGGAAACGTTCGAAGAAGAGTGCCCAACGCTGTTGCCTTTGATTGAGTTTCCGCGCCGTCTTGAGGTGTTCGAGATTGCGGTGGTCCATGTGCACTTCCACGGGCTGGCGTGCCCCTTCCAGCCAGTGTCTCCAGTTCTCAAATGCCATCTTGATGGCCAATAATTCTTTTTCCCAAATTGTATAATTCTTCTCCGGCGTGGTCAGCTGTCTGGAATAGTATGCACAGGGCATCAGATCCTGTCCTACTGGCTGCAGTAACACGGCCCCAATGGCCACATCTGAAGCAGCCGCTTGGATCACAAATGGCGTCTGAGGGTCCGGATGTTGGAGGATCGGTTGAGAGGTGAACAACTGTTTTAACTTCTGGAACCCGACCTCCACTGCCTCCGTCCATTGAAACGGGGTTTTCCCCTGCAGGCATTGGGTAATCGGGTCAGCCCAATGAGCAAAGTCAGGGATAAACTTCCGGTAGTAGTTGGCAAAGCCCATGAATCTCTGAATGTCCTTTTTACTAGTGGGAGCCTTCCATCCTAACACTGCCTCGACTTTGGCAGGGTCCATGGCGATGCCCTGAGGTGAGATTTGATAACCTAAGAAGTCAACTTTGGTCAGGTCAAAAGCACATTTCTCCAACTTGGCATATAATCCATGGTCTCGCAACCGCAGTAACACAGCCTGCACATGTTGATTGTGAAGTTTTTGGTTCGGGGAGAAAATCAAGAAATCGTCCAAATAGACCACTAGAAATCGGTCCAAAAAGTCACGGAACACGTCGGTCACAAAGTGCTGGAACGTTGCGGGAGTGTTACAGAGCCCGAACGGCATCACGAGGAATTCGTAGGCCCCTAGGCGTGTCTGGAAAGTGGTCTTCCACTCGTCACCTTCCCGGATCCGGACCAAGTTGTAAGCTCCCTGAAGATCGAGCTTGGTGTAAACTTGCGCCCCACGCAGTCTGTCCAACAACTCAGGGAGGAGCGGGTAACTGTTTCGGGTGGTAATCTCATTCAGTGCCTGGTAGTCATTACACAACCGCAGCTCCCCTGTTTTTTTCTTGACAAACAAGACTGGGGCTCCGGCTGGCGATTGCGAGGGCTGGATGAACCCCTTCCGCAAATTGGAATCCAAAAAATCCCGGAGAACCAGAGAATCAGGTTCAGGTTCACACGCAGGCTGAACCCCAACACACAGATCTTTTTCTTAGCAGGACATCTGGCGACTCTTTGCAATTTTTGGAAGCCTTTCCTTTTCTTATCAATTAACTGTTGGATCTCATTATCATTTTCAGCAAACGACTTGATGTTTCTTAGTTTGGTATCCAATGGTTTCTTCATAGGCTGTAATGATAGAGGTCTTCAATTTATTACTATGTTCCTCAATGTGTTCTGTGGTTAGATGATCCTTCAGTGTTGTTTGGAGAAGGCTCCTTTCTCCAAACATGTTACATCTTATAGTTTTTCCTTGGAATCTGTGTTTGGGGGGGATTTTGATGACGTTTGTGGATCAAATTAATCTGTTTCCAGCAATCATCAGTGTCCATCGTGGCTTCTGTGAAAAGTACACTGCAGTGGTTTCTGGCACATATAATTACATAGTCTAAGAGGTGTCAATGCTTTGACCACCGGGGGTGCTTCCATGATGTCTTAAACTTATTTTTCTGGTGGAAGAGAATGGTGATGATGACAAGGTTGTGTTCAAACATATCTGGTGAGAATTAGGATGCCATTCGGATTGCTGTTTCCAACACCATCTTTTCCTATAATCCCCTGGTCACAGGTTGAAATCTCATCCAACTCTAGCATTAAAATCACCTCGGAGGATGATTTTGTCTATAGGTATCTCAGATAGCATGGTGTCCATCTGACAGTAAAATGTTTCCTTGATGTCTTCATCGGCATCTAATACTGGTGTATAGGTGCTTATGATAGTTGCCTGCTGGTTTTTGACCATATTAATTCAGAGGGTTGAGAGTCATTTGTTAATGCTGATGAGTGCTTCAGACAGATGCTTCACAAGGTCATTTCTATTAGAAAAGCCAACTCTGTGTATTTTTTTGTTCTTGTTCAAGCAGTCCCTTCCAGAACAAGATGTAACCTGCTTTTTCTTCCTTCAGCTGTTCCTCTCTGGGACTCTTGGAGCTCTGCTATACCAGTGTTAAAGCACCTTAACAATAATAGCAGTCCTGCCTTCAGGGCGTTCATTGTGTTATCTAACAGTGTCCATATGTTCCACATTCAGAAGTTCATTTTTATCTTTTGACCGCAGCATGGTGACCCTTTGAACATGGCAGTCCAGTCAGGAATAAGAGAAGCAGACTATGTTTAGAGCACCTTTTTAAGCCCCCTCCCAGTATGGAGTCAGTAGAGTGGATCGTAAAATGGGCTGCTCTGTCGTGGATACAGCTGTCAAACTACTCAACCTCTTTGGACCTTGAAGTAGAACGACTCAATGCATATCCACTATCCATGTGCCAGCCTGTGACTAGGGACTTCCAGATTTCACAGTCCTGCCCCTGGTGCCACTCACTGATTGCCATTGATTTTTTTCTTTTTCTTGGAAGATGCCTGTGTGTGAATTTGTTTTATGTGTGGAGGTCAGTGCACACCCGAGCAACACACAGTTTTCACAGAATAAGGTTCTCATCCAGTGACATGGTTAACCTGACAACTGGTGGCTTCTCATCTGTTGCAGTCTTCTTCTGTCTTCACAGCCATTGTAACATTTACCATGTATGATATTCCAGTTGGTCCTCTTACTAATGATCCAGGATTTTAGAGCTTGGTTAGCAGCATGTGAATGCTTAACTTCTTAAAATATTAAGATGATGTTAAATATAAAGGTACATTAAATTAAATTGCATTTTTATTTACTATTGAAACAATGAAATTGATTTTCCTAGATCTATTATTTTCTTCTCATAAAATTTATATTGGCTTGCTCTGTGGTTTTCGAATCAGGCACCAAAGAGTTGTTTGTATCAACTATGTTTTTGTTTCGTACAGGATATTATTTGATATGCTTTGTGCTGTCCTTAGTGTTAAAAAGAAATAAAACCCAAAAGCTTAATGAAATAAGTAAAAATTAAAAATATAAAAGAGTTCTCTAAATTCCAAATCTGCTTATCAATTCATATTTTTCATTTGTTTCAAATACTAAAGCTGTTTGGGAAAGATGAAGACCTTGAAATGTATGTAGCAATGCATTATTATAGTCTTTGTGGTCTTAAAATATTTTTTAATTAATTTTTAGGGTCAAAATGGAAAGCAGTGAAGAGCGTCAAAGAAAAGTGTTCAAGGCCCGCAAAACTATGAGAGCCAGTGATCGTCAACAGCTTGAGAGTGTATATAAAGTGAAGAAGGAGGAGCTTTTGAAAACTACAGACATTAAGTTGCTAAATGGGAAACATGAAAATGGGGATTCAGATCTCAGTTTGTCTTTATTCAATTCTGATTGTCCTGAGGATAAAGCAGTAAATGGTATAGAGGATTTAGGACTAGACTCTGAAGAAGTAAAAATGGATTCTGAAGAAATGATTGGTACCAAAAGTCCAGACATCAAAGAGAACCAGGCTGATGACCTGACTGCCAGACTTGAAATAACCCCCAAACTTCCAGCTGTGTGCATTGATTCTGACCAGGTTCATGAGGATACCAGCACTACTTTAGACACTGTCCCAGAAGGCCAAGTACTTGATTGTGATAAAGACAAAAAGATCCAAGAAGAGATTAGTATAAAAAATGATTTGGACCACAACAACCCTTGTGGAAAGGATGACTTGGACCAGAAAGCCATGCCAAGTGAGCCTGAAGTAAATTGCAATGTTAATGAATATGTGGCAGAGCCAGTAGAAACAAAGGAATTAGCTCTTGCTCCTGATATAGTTGTGGAAGAAGAAATGAACACAGAAGAAACTATTCTCAAGGATAATATTGGCGAAGAAGCAATATCTAGCAGTTTGGATACAGATGTAGGCCAAAAAAATGATGAGGCCCATTCTGAAGAGCTTACAGAGAGTAGCGTTCAAAAAACTATCGAGGACGAAGCAGTTGAGAATATCTCGGAAAATGTAGCCACCATGGAAACTGATGAAATTATTCCAATTTTGGAAAAGCTTGCCCCAGCAGATGAATTGAACAATTTCTCCAAGTCCATCTTGGTTCCAGTGGAAAATTCTAACTTGGATGCTGAGGATAAAGTGGAAAACTCAGTAAATTCCCCATCCAAACCTGAAAGTACTGAAAGTTTGCCCAAAGAAGCTTTCTTAGTGCTTTCTGATGAAGAAGAACTTTGCTGTGACAAAGAAGCTGAAGTGATAGCATCAAATCATGCAAGCCATTCAGGTACATGGTATTTCTTTTCTTCATGCTATTTTAAAAATTGTTCTATCATATCTCTTTTGTTACTTTGAACATATCTGTTGAGTAAGCTAGTTGCAGTTACAGTAAATTTGTTAGAATTCACATGCTTTGGAATTTTGGTGTGTAATAAAAATGATCACCAGAATTTTTTGACATGTATTCATAATTTACTGATTTATTATAAAATGTATTTTCATAAATAATAGCTCCTAACAGCCAAAGAATTTTAACTGTGAAATAATGACACATACACTTGATCATGAATGTAAACGCATCTTCACCTGCCTGCCAAGAAGACTTAATATATTGCGTTCTTTATACTTCTTCACCTCCTAAAAGTCCTTTCGATCTGTATATTATTTCTTCCAGGATTATTAAGGCCTTCAGGTTTCCTTCAACTTGTGGAAATACTATAATTGTATAGGGTTTTATTAGACAAGGAAAAAAGTTTTTCATTTCCTTCACCTCTAGTACAGCACCTCATATTCCTTCACGGTTGCCCTGAGTACGCATAGCTTCCATAAGATGGGAAGGTTACAAATCAGTTACTTGAGTTAGCCGAGTAGTAGTAATTGGGTCCCTGCTTTCCAGGAAAGAATGTATTTGCGTTTTGGATAGCACTGATGAAAGTGTGATAATATGCAAACTACTTTTGTTTGAAGGAGTAAAATGAGGTACAAAATGTATCCCAGTATGTAAACCAGATAGAAGGCCACCCATTTGTCTGTCTATGTTGTATTCATTTGGCTTTGTTTACCTTCATTACATGTTACTGGTTTCCAACAAATACAGGTAAGCAGAAAATGAAACCTCAGCTTCAAGTTATCATCATACTGAAATGTCAGTCAGTGCATCTCTACAGAAAATCATTCCCAGTGCTTTTATGTAAATGTCCAGTATTATTGGATACAGCACCAAACTCCTGAAATGTCCCATCTTCAGTGACTGTGTGGTCAGAATGACATTACCCTCAACTTCCGAATTCCATATAGCCCAGAAGGGTCAGGAAATCAGTACTACCAAATATGCCTAAGACACTTAAGGAAAATTAAAAGATTGAGTTCTGTTGTTTACTCAAATTCTCCTACAAGAACAAAAAGGTCTGTATTTTAACACTTTCTGAATCTGAAATAATTTCCCACTGGGCCTCAACCAGAAGAGTTGTTACCATTTTATTTTAATTAATATTTCTATATACTTCCATATTCATATTTCACAGTACCGAATGACTTAAAGTTATTTCACATAAAATAAAAAAATGAAACATCAAACCTTATTGATATCATGTAAAAGGGGAATAAGATGTCTGTACCCAAAAAGTTAACCCTCTATATCCAAGTGTTCTGTACCCATAAATTCAAACAATGACAGCTTGAAAATATTTTGTTAAAAAACTAAAAAAAAAAAACCTAATTGTATACTCACAGATGTTCAGCCATACCTCATTGTATCTTCCATTTCACAGTTCCTCAGTCGATCTCTGGCACTCATATGAGTCGTTCTCCATTTAACACAAAGACATTGACGAGTATCCACAAGGGGTCCTGGACCCAAACTCAACATCTGTTAGGCCAGATCCCAGATCAAACAAATAGCATGATCAAAAAGGTCTGGTTGAATGGAAATATGGGGCGGGGGGTGGGGATCGTTTACACTATATTCTGAAAACTTTGCTCTGGATGATCATTCTAAAACCAGATACTTTTCATTTGTGTTGCTCTGTAATCGTTCATCCTCCTAGTACACTCCATATTTTGGAAGAAGACAATTTGAAAAGTCTCTGAAGAATTGCAAATAAATAACAAAGGACTTTTTATTTCAAAGACTTGAATACCCCTATCTTACCAGGATGGGTTCTGCTGGTCACAGGGCAGGAAAGAAGAACACCTGATCTTTCTTCACCGTTATATCATTTCAGATGTTCTCCATGGTCTGTTCACTTGGATTTAAAGAGAAGGATTGCGCCAATTGTTGTCATCAAATTGTTACTACTCTGGCATTCTTATCTGAAATTCTCCTCTAAACTAGAACTGACTGTTGGTAGATAAAAAATATATATTTATACATGATTATATTACAAATTCTGGCTCCACAAACTCCAGAATTCTGGACAAGATAATTATCTGAGAAGATGATTTAGCTGTATCATATTGGAGAAGGCTGTTACTGATACCTTAACTTATACCTGTTCGTCTTGTAAGCTGCAATATCACCTTATTCTAAGCCAGTGTAGAACAACAGATCTAAAGTATGCCTGCTACTTCTGTTGGCCGTCAGAACATTGGTAAAGATCTGAGGTTGGCATTGGAATAATGAAAGACGAAGTTAAGCAAAGTGCTATATCAATCAACTTATAAGCTATATGTCAGTATAACAGTTTCTCAGAAGTACTTCTCTGAGAAATATCTTCACATCAAGTTTAATTCCATCCTATACGATTTGTCATCAGTCCACCCCTTTGGGCTTCACGCAAATCTACCCTTTGCCAAAATATATGATCTTGTGCTTTTATTTTCCTTTTCTGGTCAAATAGCTTAACCATTGGTTCATCTCATCAAATACGAGGTCTGCCCAAGGGCCGCTTGTGGTCTCTTGGTATCGAGTTCATTAGTTGACATGTCTGTCAGTTATCTTTTGTTCGTGCTATATGCCATGTCCACCTTCTTTTTGTCTTATAAATTTAATTGACTATATCACGTACCCTAGTTCTTTGAAAATGCTCTTTATTGCTGACTTTATCTCTTATTGTCATGCCACACATCCTTCTTTCTATTGCTCTCTGAGGCATCCACCAGTTTTTTCTCCCTTGTTGCTGCCCATGTTCAGATGTGTGTAACATTGCCAGTACAACTGTAGTGTTGAAGATATTTGCTCTGACCTTCATTGGAAGCTTAGCACTGTCCTGTTTTGATTAAAAGCCATCCAAACAGCCTTGCGTCTTGCCCATTTGCCATTTAACAAATTTTTCGACTGTACTTGTTGTCTAAGATATACATATTCAGTCACTTCCTCAATTTCATTTCTGTTTATATCGATGCGACCGAGGACACACTGCTCATTTTTATCCATTTTATCATTTTCTTCCAAGTTCATTTCCAGTTCTGCTGGTTTTGAGACTCAAGTTAGTTGTTAGGGGGATCATGTTGTAAATCTTTCTGGTTTTTGGAAAAAGGATGCAATCGTTTGCAAAGAGGAGATGAAAAAGTAGTTCACTTTCCATTGAAATCCCACCTTTAAATTTAATTTTTTGGAAGATGCTTTCCAAAGTTGCCACATACAGTTTTGGGGATATTCTGTCTCCTTGATGCACTCCTTTGTTTATTCTGATATGACGCACTTCTGACAGCAGTTTTATATCTGTTGTGCACCCTGAATCGATGGTTTGTATAATGTTCACATACTCTGAATTTACACCAGCTTGGTGCAGAGGATAGCATTAATCTCAACTGAGTCTAAGGACTTTTGGTAATCAATGAAAAGAAGACAAACTGGAACTCAATAGTCTCTGCTTTTTCCCAGTAGCTGTATGACTGCGTGAATATGATTGAGGGTGGAGTCACTGCATCTGAAGCCTGTTCTCTGTTTATTTCCATGTCTTGAGAGATTCTTTGTAGCAAGATTGTTGTGTACAGTTTATATAGTTGATAGAGAAGTGTAATAGGGCAATAGTAGTTAAAGTTTTCTGTGTCTCTTTTCCTCATTATGGTTTTGGACACCGTCCAATGTTTAGGTAAGATGGCACTTCGCAAGTATTGCATAAAACATTCTGCAATCACCTCTTGAAGATTATAACCTCCCACCTTTAGGGGTTCTGTTCTTATTCTGTCCTTTCCTGGACATTTGTCTGGCTTCATTTTACTTATGGCTGCATCTACCTCACTCAATAATACTATTGGGATTTCTCCTGTCTTAAAATGTAGTTTGACTAAGACTACCTGCACTTTGGAGTCATTTAAGTTGTTATATATCTTCTTCATTTCCAATCTATTTGTTACGCACATTCCATTTTCATTTTTTAGCACAATTGATGGCTTTTTTTCATTTTCAGCTGCTTTTTCTCTTTTTAGGTACTTTTCATGTTCTCTGCAGCCTCTCCTAATTACATAATCCGATATTCGCCCATCTGTAGGCTCTTTCAAATTCGTTGTAAAGTTTTTGTACAACTCCCCTTTTGCTTTGCTGTCTGCTATTCGCTGGTCTCTGACTGCCACTAAGTGTTTTGTGCCTTGTCGGATTCTTCTAATCTTCATTGGAGGAATGGATTCGCTTGATAAACAATTGCCTTTTTAACTTTTCCCACAAACATTGCATAGTCTTCTGATCTTGAGGTTAAAAGGACATCGCACTCTGAAAACAATCCAGGTTTATGCACCGGCAACAAATTAACAAGCAAAGCCAGGAAGAAGCTGACTAAGAACTTGAAGAATTACCAGTTATCAATCGGTCTGGTTGCCATAATCTTGGGGTTTTTTTATATTTAACTGCAACCCAGCTTTTGCACTTTCTTCTTTCCCCTTGATTATAAGGCTCTTCAGCTCATCTTCATTTTCAGGTGTGCAGATGATACCATCAAAGTGGTATCATCTGCACACCTAAGGTTGTTAATCTTCCAGCAATTTTAACTCCAGCCTTGGATTCATTAAGCCCCGCACATCACATGATGTGTTCAGCATACAAGCTGAATAGGTAGGGTGAGAGTATACAGCTCTGCCGTACTCCTTTCCAAAATTTGAACTAGTCCGTTGTTTCGTGGTCTGTTCTTACTGTTCCTACTTGGTCATTATACAGATTCCTCAGGAGACAGATGGGGTGATTTAGTATTCCCATACCACCAAGAACTTACCACAATTTATTATGATCCACACAGCCAAAAGCTTTAGAATAGTCAATAAAACAGATGTTTTTCTGAAACTCCCTGCCTTCCTCCATTATCCAGCGGATATTAGCAATTTGGTCTCTTGTTCCTCTGCCTTTTCTAAATC